TCCTTGCATTTTTTTTTTACATTTTATGACATTGTTTTTGTTCCATAAAATGATGCAAAATAACTCTCTCCCTTGATTTTGTGCACTGAATGATCACAATTTAGGTTGTAGACTAAGTTAAACAATGCTCACAAATAACAAACACAGGCTATTTTAGCAAAAGAAATGGGAATACTTGCCCCATAAGAGATGTAATAATACAATGATTTTGTTTTATTTTCAGCAAATTTGATTCACTTGTAGTCCTTACCTGTCCTGTCGGTTTGAATTGTGAGATGCATACATCTTGATATAAGCTGTGGATAATCTCTGTTCCCATTACAGTGGACCAGCGGTGTATGAAACGGCCCCATCTGCCATCCTGCATGCTCCTTTTTACTGTACTACACACTTCTTCCCCCTGTAATGTGGATTCATTTTGTATTGATCCTGTGTGAGACAGGGAGCCATTGTTTGGCAGTTGCATCCCAAGGGAGAAAACAAAAACTCTTTCATTTTAAGTGAATCACGTACTTAACAATCATTCTGCCAAAAATGTTTTTTCAAAAGGACTCAAAGAAATCGGCTCAGCAACAAATCATCACTGTAACTTAACAAAACCACTCATAGTTTAAGAAGGATCGTGATCAACAGATTATCTCATTGGCTCATTAGCTTTCCATGGCAGTTCATTCTGCTAAGGTACTTTTCAACCAGTGGTAGTATTTACTCTGTCAACATGTCACTCATGCTGTGCAAAAACTGTGCAACTGAGCCAACTTGGAAAATGAAATCAAACTGCATGTCAATCAGCCTTTGTTATAAGGCTGATCTGATCTTTTCACAGATGTGTATGCAGTATTCAGATCAGTGACTCAGGTGTCCATCTAATTGTTGCAAGAAGCTTAAGAATGTGGACAGATTTGTCAACAATAAAGTCTGAATGAGGGTGGTCCCATCCGGACCTTAGTTGACACAAGATTTCTTCACCCCTTTAAGTCAAACTTTTGGATTCATCTTCAGCCCAACATCTCCAACACCCAGCTCTTTGTGGCAGCTTGTAGTTTACTGTGGGTTCCATCATCGTTTCCCAGGATGATTTCTCTGAATCAAAGAGTCTGTCCCAAGAAATCCCATGAATACTAATGCTCTGCTGTCATGCTTCGTAAGCCCCCACTAATTCCCTTTCTGGGATATTCCTTGCCTTTGATAGGATTAGAGTTGTGTGTTTAACTGGATAAAATGAATGAAGCACATAAAATGTAAAGACTGCTTTTATGGGCCAGACATCAGCAGAATTTAAAAAAACATTAATATCAATTGAGGCCAGTGGAGAAGCCAAAAATTGATGTTAGCACTTCCCCAGATAATGTAAATAACAGAAAGGGAAATTACATAAATCCTTTGTGGAGAACAACTTAATTTATTTAACCAAATAATCATTATTAGGTCAAAAATGGCATTTTGTGCTACTTAAATTTAGACAGTTTTCAGTCTTATGTAAAAAAGATAAAAGTCTGTTTCATCAAGATATGATGAAATATTGTGTTAATTTATATGTTCTAAAATTATTGATGCTGTGCTGTATAGTTTTATTCAGCTTCCATTAAGGGATGAGTTTAGAAGACATAACAAAGGAACATAAAAGCTAAACCTCTTCATCTTCACTGAATGGCTGCATGCTTCTGAGCAGCTCTTCTTATTCCCCAAGATTAATAAACACCAGAGCAATAAACCCACCCACATCTCGTGACTATTTTTGCATAGTACGCATTACTATTTCAGTGCAGCTCGCTTATTTTGCGCAGTGGTAGCACCGGTCTTCTGGAACAATTTGCACTAATGAAAAGGTGTCGTGTCAGCTCAGACCGTGATGCATTGAGAGAACACAACCTCTGAAGAGGAGCCAGGTCTCTGCTAGAAAAAGGCTCAGGACTGTGACTGATGGTGCTGAACCACTACCTCCAGGCAACACTCAATCTGGAGAAATTGCTCATTTTCCAGCTAGCAATTTGCTGCTGCAATCTGGATAAATGGACATGATAACATTCAGTATCATTTACAGAATAAGTTCCATTTTTCTGTCCACAACAGCCAAGAAAAGTTTTTTTTTTGTTTGTTTTGTTTTGTTTTTTTAGCTGTTTGTGTATGTGTAGGTTTTGGTGTTAATTTAATGAGATTGCACTATTATTTTTAGAAACTAGGACACATTTTATGTTTGAATTTATTAGGTTTTATAAAGCCTATAATCATTATGGTACTTGGATTACAAAACCAATGATCCTTTAATTGGGAGCCACTGTTCCCATTTCCATGCTCACAGCATCCTCATTAGTTTACTAGTGCTGTAACTCGCTGGCTGTCTCGCTGAAACCCCAGTGAAGGTTTGGATATGGCTGCTTTGCTGCTGCACATTTGCTCATTCACTTCCCCCTCCTGACAGAATTAGCCAGAAAATAGTTATTTTTCTCTTCTGTAAAACTTTGCAAATCATATTATCCACTAGCAACCACGACCAACTGTTTAATGTGAAGCAGCAGGGGGATGAATGCTGAGGCCAGCTGGAGCATGGAGGCACTGTATATCATTTTAAAGGGAAAACATGCATCTCATCTTGAGCATAAATAAAAACATTTCCTTTATAAAATAGCTTTGTGGATACCCTGCTTTTTGACATGCCACTGTAGGAAATGAATACATTTAATTAATGACAGTGGGAAATGTAATTGTTGGAGCTCATTGACACTTATACAGTGGACATGACATCACCACCCTGCACTATGCAAAAATAAAGCCAAAATATTATGAATACGGCGGCTGCCATCTTGCTTTTTTGCAACCAGATTTGGTGCAATAGCAACCAGAAGTGCAGTGACAGCATCGGCCCGCCAATCAAAGCTGTCAAATCAAGTGAAATACACCTCATTTTATATTATCAAATAACTTATTATAAATAAACTTACTAGAAAAATGACCACTTGTTCACACATCAGCATGATAATATCTACCAACAACCACATAAGCAACCTTTGGGAAAAATTGATCTGATTTGTACTTTGAGGTTTTATTTTGGCTCATGTCCCATCTGCTAACATGGAGGAGGCGGGACAAGTGTGTATAAGATCCCACAATACACAGAACAATGACTAAGTCCAGGGAATTCTCTGTAGACCTTTGTGACCAAATTGCGGCTTTCCCTTTATTCTCCATTTCCTTCCAGAAATGCTCTGCTAAGGATTTCACTGTCTTGGTCACTTTGAAAAGACAGCTGCTGTGCTTGCAGTATCAGCCCTGTGCAAAGTGAATTTCTGATATAACTAAGCTGGAATGCCTCACTGTTTGCTGCTGAAAGTGCTGAGAGCTCCCCTGTAATTCACTCCAGTGCATCGTTTGGCAGCGTGCCACATTAATCGCCAAGGTAATGGGAAGACAGGCCTATTGACCAGTGGTCCGATAGGACACAGGGCTAGGACGTACAAATCAAAGCTGTCCAGCTTCATATTGACCAAACTGGCCACACGAAGCACGATTCATTAGCTGGATGACAGGGGATGAGGAGAGGGCTGAGCACAGGGAGTCACAGGGATTTGATTCAGCTCAGACTCTGCAAGACCAACACAAATAATGGCTCCATACATATTTAGGAAAATTGGCAGGTTGGCCTTTTTGTTTTTTGGCAATTCCCCACAGTGAACCACAATTCACTGTTTATATATGGTTATTTAATGTTCTAATAATGTTGCTGATGAAACATCTTCCTTTCTACTTTTGCTTTTCAGGTCATCCATGTGGATAAGGTACAGGAGGGAGGCTCAGTAGTGCAACAGACAGTGTGCTCTTCTGTTTTTCTCGTCGCTCTTTATTGCAGACTGTCCAGTAGCGAAGGAAAATGCAAGGTAGTTTGCAGAGTGAACTTCAAAAATCAGGCTGTAGCTTCCCAAGAGTTGACAAGTTTTAAATCCTATTTTTACAGCTGTATTTTGAAATATTTCGCTCATCCAACCAATTCCTGGCTATTTGAAAGCTCTCATGAAGTGAGTGATATACATTAAGGAAGTGGTCATCACTAACTGACAGGACAGTATACTGTGCACTTTAAATCTTTCCCTCAGAGCGCCTTGCAATGAAAACAAATGGTGAGCTACCCCATTAGTGAATTGATCTGTGAAGCTCAGTTCTTCTTGGGTTTTTTTGTAATGTGCTTTACTGGCACCTGTATGCATCAGTGATAAATTACCTTGAGTTACACAAACAAATCTGTGAGAGCAACTCTCACTGTGGAAATCAACAATCCAAAGTAGATAACCTTAACTGTAATGAGTGTGCACTTTGCTGCTGAGTGAGAAGTATCACAGGCCATCAATGAAATGGAGTCGATGATATGAACATTCCCACGCTATTCAGTTTTTAACTTTTTGCAGGCCTTTTTCACTGATGATATTTTGACATGTTACAGTAGGAGAATGATGTGGAAATAATAAAATGACAGATGACTGAATTCCATTTAGTTGCACTAGTTTCAGGGTCCTGGTGTTGTGCGTGATTGCTCACTGTCACAAAACTCTGCTGTCTAAATGAATTATTACAAGGAAATAATATGAAAAAAAACAACAAAACTGTTATCCAAAATGAAGAACACGGGAACCACTCATAATGCATATTCATCAGCCCAGTTCTTAAGACACAGGAGTGGGCTGTGACTGCCCCCTTGTGGGCAGCGTCGTGAACATCTTACTGGGGTTTTAGGGCCATAGATTGAAGCATGCCAATGTTGTGCTTCTCTTTTAAAGTCACCTTGGACAACAGTAACACGTCATCCGCACTTCTGTACATTTTTTGCGGTCTAGTCTTAAAAATAGAACCAGCATTGTGTATCCTACTGTATTAGTGTTTAAATATTTAATGTTTGTCTCCCTATTGGCATGCACTGTATTATATACATAACAATGGGCCTTATTTGCTTAATGGATATAAAACATAAACCGTGTCAGTGAGCACAGAGGGCCACTGCAGTATGATGTTTTAAAGTTAACGTGCACTTACTGTTCCTTCATAAACAAACCATGCTTTGCTGAGGTCCAAGCTGGTGCGCACAGACGCGCAGCCTGTTACCGACCGGGGGAGGGTCTTCACTGGCAATATGTTGCAGGTCTGTCTGGCAGACGACGCGGAGGAGAAAACAGCCACTTTCCATCAGTAGTAAGCCTTTATCGTCTTCTACTGCGGACTGTTTCATTTGTCTCTGTTAACCGCATTAATCAGTGTCGTTGGTGTTTCTGTCCTGCATCTTTTACAACGCTTTTATTTATGTATTCATTCATCTTATTTAACGCTGCCAGTGGTGTTTTCACGTGGCCTGTTATGCTGAACAGCGGTGCCAGTTGCAGGGACTGTACTGACACAGTCGTAGGCTTCAGTGTGTTTACTGCGCGTTTACCGTTTTACTGGCTACGTCGGGGTTCCCGTTATTTGAGCCTAAGTGTTTGGGAAAATATTAGTAGTAGTAAAGCAGGCAATACAAAGATTTATAGTTGGTCTGATTGTGAACAGTTTATTCAGTAACATTCATACGTCATCAGCGGCTAAATGATGGAAAACCCCATTCAAATAAGCTCAATAACCCACCCTGTGGCGTGGTTTAATAATGATTTTACAAGGTGCATTCATTCTCAGTGTTGTCCAATTTTAACAGGTCTATAGAAGGATTTTCCACAGCTTCAGCAGGGCACATAGGTGTACATTAGGACAGCACAGATGGTAACAGCAGTACAAAACACTACAGAACAACAGTGCACAACAAGGACAGTCACCACATTAGAGCTGGTTTATCATAACCAGCGGAGTGCAGTTCGATTCATGGATTTTGTACAGAACAAAACTGAACAGAGCTTTAATTACTGTATACTGGATCAGAGTCTGTCAAATTAACTTAAGAAAATGTTAGTAATTCAAAAGCATGCAATTTCCCTCCCTCTCTTTCATTCTTGTAGGTGACCACATATTTGGATGTTTTAGCAGCTGGATCCTGTAATGGTCTTCTTACACCTGACTGATAATAAGATACTGCCTTCACGTGCTCATAGGAAAATGTAAAGGGGACTTAAAGATGGCACAACTCATCCTACTCTAACTGGAGACTAATCATTCATATGAGGGCGCTGGGTTTCTGCCACAGCTGTGTGCTGTGCTGTAAGTATTCTGTGTTTGTGTTGATGTCCTGTGAGAGAATGTCCAGCTTTAGGCAGCAAGAGAATACACTTAATAGTATTCATTATGGATGAATTTGTTGATTATTATCTGAATTAGTCATATTAATGAACAAATGCCAATCACTGATTCCTTCTTAATGCATTTGAGTTGTGCAGAGGTGATGCTGGTATCATTTTAAGACTCGAAGGTCAGTGAGTCTGAAAATGTTAAAGGATTTTGAACATTTCTTCAACTGCAGTCATAAAAAACATGAGGACCACCTCAGCACAGGAAGGCCACAAGTGGGGGAGGCAATACGAAGAAATAAAGTGCCTGGGGCAAGAAACACAAGGAACAGATGTTAGAACATTGAGTCCAAATTGTGAAGGGCCACCATGTCTTTGTGAGAGACAGAGCAGGTGAACGGATGGTATCTGCACGTGTGTCTCCCACCATGAAGCGTGGAGGAGGAGGTGTGATGTCTGGGAATGCTTTGCTCATAACATACCTGGTGATTTATTCTGAAATCCAAACGCACTTCACCAGCGTCACCACCAACACATTCAGCACCTAGTGGGACCATCGGAGGACGGTAACCCAAATTACACCTCAAACGTAACGGCTGTTTGACCACGAGGATGAGTGATGAAGTGAGCGGGTCTCCACATTCACTCAACCCAAACCCAGCTGAGATGGTCTGGGAGGAGCTGGACCACATATTTTGCTTTGTTTACCCTTTTTACCTCTCAGTCCTATTTTATAATTTGATGTATTCAGAAATAATCTAGAATGTAGGAAATAAGAGAAAGAAAAGTCATTGAATGAAAAGCTTTGTCCAAAGCTTTGACTACTTCATTCACATTAGTTCATTTTGTATGATAAGTACAACTTAAAAGGAAGCAACTCTGCAATATTAGAACCTTTCAGTCAGTATTATAACCTCAGTTTTTGGTTTTCTCTGTTCTGAAGAAAGGTCCAGCTGCAATAAGAAGGAGCCCCAAGGCAGAGCCATGGGCTGTGGGGGAAGCAGGATGGATGCTCTGGAGCCACGCTACATGGAGAGCTGGACTAAAGAGACCGAGTCGACGTGGCTGACGAGCACAGACACTGACATCCCCCTGTCGTCCATCCAGAGCATTCCCTCTGAGAACTCTGAGCCCAGTTTCACTTCCGAGAAGACAAGTTGCCCTGGTAAGAACAATCATGGCTGACTGCACGGGTGACCGATCTAACCCAACTAGGCAGTAACACATTTGTGATCATATAAATTAGTTGATTAGATTTCTGCTGCTGTGCACAGTATATTTGCAACTCCAATGCTATTTTTCCCTATTTTAAATGTTCTGTATGTTCACTTTAATCTCTTGCATCAAATTGTACAGTATTAGAATTGTATAAGTACCATTTTCATTACTCAGTGGAATGGCTAACACCATGGTGGGAGAGTTCAGGCTTAGAATCATAACGTTAGAAATAGTTTAACTGGATTAGCAATGAATGCTCGTTTCTCTACACACTGTTACCACCAAAGCGAAGTGTGACACCGTTGCAGTGTGTGTTGTTATCTGCTTTTCTTTTTCCCTGTGGACAAAATCCTGCTGGTGTACCAAAGCTTCACATTTCACATAAAATAGCTCTGGTTTTGCATGACCCATTCAAAGAAGTATCTGTTATGCACAAGGAAAATTAAAATGGCAAGTGGTTGTGCTGTAGCTACGTACTGAGTATGACAGAAGGATATGTGACAAACCTTTGTAACTTGTTCCTCGACACACAGCTGACAAACAGAAGGATCTGACTGCCGTTCTTTTGTTATTTGTTAATTTGTGTTTTGTGCTGAATTGTGGGCGCGTTTTCTTTGAAGACAAGAGGAGCTGAATCAGTAAACGGGGATAATAGACTACATCAAAAGCCACTGCTTGCACAGGACTTGGCTTTCATGGCAACAGATACAGCTGTCAGTGAATGCAATCAGGGGATCATTGATGTCATTGGGAAGACAAATTCAGTTAAGCTGACTGCATTGTTGTCTTTAACATTATGATGCAGAATTTCCTTTCCTTCTGTTCATGTTTATTCTGTCTCAGTAACAACATATGTGGTCTTGAATATGGTCATGTGTTTATGAGGAGATATACTGTACAGCACATGTTCCATATATGTAAAATGCTGCCTTCCACTTCACTTAAGCCACATTTGGATGTGCACACTAAACCATACTCCACTGATCCACCCTGTAGTCACATCAGCTGTCTGAATACTCTGCACCACACAAACCATTCTGTTAGCTATTATGTTGGCAGGGCTGGAATACACCATTTTTGTTGTTTTCAAACCATAGTAATGCATAAAAGCTCAGTGGACCTGAAAGCAAATCTCTATTTCCCAAGGTTGAGTGTATTTACAATCTTATAAATAGCAAATATTCTGTCACAAACATTGAATGAAAAAGTATTTATTTTAAGGTCAGTACCTGATTTCTATGTTGCAGAGAATCAGCTTTTATTTGTTACTGTTGTTATGTGCCGTTCGCACCAGTCAGCGTGCGAACGAGAAAGAGGCGGACCCAGGTAGCCGACTTCGGTGCATGCAGTGATTTATTATATACAGTGATGAAGGGAGTAACAATACACAGAGGGAAATAGTGCGTAGTCCTGTCGATGAGTAGTAGCCGGGTGTTTGACCAACAGTAGGAGGTGAGGAGATGGTGAGCTGGGCCGAGCTGCGTAGGCTGGGTCACTCCTGGGCTGGTCGGTGGTGATGGTGGCTACTGAAGGTAGAGACAGAGAGATGAAGGCAATAGTGGAACAGATAGGCA